CTAAGGTGCTCAGGTCCAAAAACCAAAACCTCAGTCTTGTCTGTTCAACAGGAGAAAATTAAGGGTCATCCAGGTTTTTATGTCTTTAAGACATGCTTGTAGTCTAAGTAGCTGATTGGATTCATTGGGTTTAATGGACAAATATAATTGTGTCATCAGCATAACATTACAGAGCTTTTGGGAAACAGACAGATATCCTAAGTTTGTACAGGCCAACCTTCAGAAAGTCGAGTCGAAAACCAGAACCTGAAAGCTATTGGACTTCTCAACATTTTTTATTGATCACAGAACTCATCATTCAGTTTCAGATAGTTTTCTCAGGTTCTTGCTGATCAGCTTACACATGAACAGATTTTAATAGTTTTTATTTAAATGTATTAAATATTTTCAGATGGGAAATGCCTCCATCTGACTTTCAGAATAAAGGTTTTTACTTCCAGGTGAGTTTTGTGATGCAGTAGAAGCACCACCTGCTGTTCAGTACAACTTCATGGAGGCATCGAATAGTCTGCTCAAGTCCTCCTCCGTGTGCTCCCGCGGAGACAGCTTGGTGACACGTTCCTGCACAGAAGAAAAAATGATGCGACGCATTCAGGTGTTCCATGAGCGTTCGTAACACGTCAAGCTGCAGGTAACCTGCTCACCTGGGGGAGCGTCCCCCTCACCAGCGCCGGGATGTCCTCTCTGTTGTATCCGACAGCGCCGAGCCCATCCTCCACCTGCAGGTCAAACAGGATGTGACGCAGCGTGTCAGCTAGAACAGCGCCAGCATCTTGCCGTTTCACCTGCCGCACATCTGCACCTGAATGCATCACAGAGATGTTTTAAAAAAAAATGTTTGTTTGAACAATTTGATGACAAATTTCTGCCCAAAACTCTCAATATACTTATTTTCCTGACCATCTTTACATGTTGTGTTATTGTTTATGTTGACACATCGTTTTGTTTGTTTACACATCATGTTGTTGTTTTATGTTTATTGTGGGGAGTATTTTATATATTAAGTTTTTATAAACACTTCCCACACTCTAAATGCTCCGAGCACAGCATGTCATGATCTCTGCTCTTGGCCACGCCCACTTCTACGCTGCAGTCACATTACCTGTCACTCCCAATCGCCCTCCGTCTGTGTAAACAATTTAAATACAAATAAACAATCCATGTCACACGAGCGGCATGGATTGTTTATTCAAAGTAGTCAAGCGCAACGCAAACCGAGCCTTTAGTCCCCCTCGTCGAACGGGCCAGGCCACCGGGAAATGTCTCAATGGCCAGTCTGTCCCCACTTCTGCACCTGGACCTGTGAAAAGTTTGAGAACCCTGCTGTAAAGGACCAAACTTTTTTGGATCAGATCAAAACTTTCCCTCTACTATTTCAGCAGAGGGGGGCGGGGCTTCTGGTAAAAATGTAGTCCTTATGAGCAGTGAAGTAGTGGAGGCTTATTGAGAGAAAACTACAAAATGGCGGCACCTGTTGGCAGTATTTTATTTTTTCGTTAACTTTTTACTGTAAAGTATCCCGTACTGTCCCAGCCATGTGAGTAATATTAAAGTTGATAATCGTGTTATGTAGTTTTTTTCCTCGTGTTCAATCTTTCTTTGAAAAACCGCAAAAGAGCGAATCCACGAAAGTCGAACCGCGAAGTAGTGAAGGACTACTGTACATGTTCTGGTTTTATCATTTAACATTTGTTGTTGTTTTATGTTTCCACGCTTTGTTTACACATTGTGTTGTGTGTTTATGTTTACTTGTTATGTTTACGAGTTATTGTTTATGTTTACATGTTGTGTTGTGATCAGTTAGTCTGCTGTGGGTTCTTGTGATGCGTTCAGGTACCCAGGATTTCTGCAGCCTCCAGGTGGCGCTCTGGACACATCTGTGCTGTAAAAGTGAAGACAGCTGGAGATGTGAGGACAACAGAGAGTCCGTGCGGCTGCGGACACACAAAGTTCTTTGAAGTGAAGTCAAGTTACAGTTACGATGCTCACAGAGCAGGAAACAAGTCACAGATGCAAATCACTTCTACCCGAGAAGACGAGAGCCGAGTGGAGTCGCACTCATCCATGGCAAAGAGGCTTTACCGTACCCACCACTGCACCCAGTATTCACTGGTTAACTGGTCACCATTAACTTCACACAGACTCTCCCACTGGTACATTTTCATCTTTAAATCACTTCCTGGTCTGCTGCCTTCATACATCTCCTCCTACATGTCTCTGTGTGAGTGCAGCTACAGCGTGCGCTCTCAGGACATTATTACCTGCAGTGTTCCCTCAGTGAGGACTGAACTAGACAAAAGGACCTTCTCCTACTCCGCTCCTGTTTCCTGGAATATCTTGTAAAAAGATTTGAAGCTCTCGACCTTTGACCTCTCTAAGTGTCTTTAAGAATCTGTTGGACTCCTGGCAGGGACCAATGCAGACATGTTCCTGTTTTTAGTTTTCTACATTCGCCTTAGAATCTAGCTGTTTTTTTGTTACCTTTTTCTTTTAGCCATCCTATTTGTTAAAAAAAATAAAAACTGCAGTATGACGTTTTATAACTGTTTATTGTTGTTGCTGTTGTCCATTGTTGTCATCTTTCTTTGTTAAATCAGGTCTCTCTTGTAAATGAGTCCCAGAGGCTCAATGGGATTTACCTGCAGAAATAAAGGTTGAATGAATTTAGACACGCAAGATCTAAGACTGACCCGTGACACTGGTGGACCCGACCGCAGACAGAGAGCTTCAGATTCAGGACTCACCACAAGGGGATGGTCCACATTGTAGCCCCTCGCTGAGTGAGTCTTGACATTCCCTGCGATTGGATAAGACATCCCATGACTGAAACCAGAGAAACACCAACAGGATTTTCATTAATAACAGTCTGACATGTTTTATCAACAAAAGTCAAGAACTTTAATTTCACTTCTCTCACCACAGATGAACTCCTGCATTTCCGAAGCCAATCCCTGCGAAAACGCTGGCCAGGTGCATGTTGGACCGAGCCTCTAGGTCCTCTGGATCCTGCACAGCTCTGTGATCAAAGATCAGCCGTTTGACTGAAGTTCAGCTACGTTTAGTGTCAGTGTCCCACAAAACCAGAGAAAACTGATGAAGATCATCAGAAGGACAGACCAGGTTGAAGGACTGGGAGGTAGAGTTAGACACAGACTAAGATGGTTTGGACATGTCCAGATGAGGGACAGTGGGTATATTGGTAGAAGGATGTTAAAAATTCAGCAGAAGGAAAAAAGACAAAAAGGAGATATATGGATGCAGTTAGAGAGGACAGAGTGAGGACGCAGAGGACAGAGTGAGGACGCAGAGGACAGAGTGAGGACGCAGAGTGAGGTGGAGGAGGATGACTTGCTGTGGAGACTCCCGAAGAGGGAACATCTGAAAGAAGAATATCTGAGCAGCTGTCCCTCTGCTGGTTTTCTCATCAGTTTATTTAAAATGTAAATAAAATTAAAACCTGGAGTGTGTTTTATATCAAAGTCAGATTATTGTCTTTTGTCATTTATTTTCACTTCTTGCAGAGGATTTACAAAGTTCTGATGTTTCTGACCTGGTCGCCTGGGTCCCAGTGTGGAGGAGGTCTGAGCAACGTTTAAAACGTTTGTCACAAAATTCTTCGTTAAGAATCAGTAAAGTTTTCGTTAATTATTAGTAAAGTTTGTAAGTGTCAGTTAAGTTTGTGCCAGTAAATATTTTGTTACGTGTCAGTAAAGTTTTCGTTGGTTCAGTAAAGATTTTGTTAAATGTCACTAAAGTTTTTGTTAAGTATTAGTAAAGTTTGTAAGTGTCAGTAAAGTT